TTTGTTTCCCATGGAAGAGAAAGGATACTGCAAGTGTGATTAATGTAAACTGATAATTAGGCTAGCTCCAGCTTGCCTTGCAGAGCTTCCAATAGATATTTTGATTTTACATAGCTTTTTAAATGCTATTTAAAAAGCATACCAGTGATTAATTTACTGGTTTAAGCTGTTGCTGCATTTTCTGTACCTAACTTGTTGCTTAATAGAGTATGTACTCTTTCTATTCCTACAGCATCTCACACTGTAATAACTGGATCTCAAATGTGAAATCTGAAGGCTGTTGAAATATAAAATCAATGCGTTTAGGGAAGTACAAAAATATCAATAATAAGTACAAAGCTCTCCCCCCGATAAAGACGCTGACTGCTGACAAATTACTGTTCAGCAACAGCCACAAATCACTTCAGTACATCACTCCTTTAGATCCCCTGAGTGCTCTCTGAGCCTCGTTGCAGGGTTCTCTCTCCCCACCGGCCGAGTGCTCTGAGCAGGAGCTGCACGTGGTAGACCTGGTTTCTTTTTTCCCCTTCTTCCTCTCTTTTATTATAACTAACTTTCCCTTAATTCACTCAAGCAGCATCTCATCTTAACAACTGTTTTGACCGTTCTTAAATGAAGAGCAGAACAGCACACACCCCCACTGCTGAGCCTTCCCAGAGCCACAGGCAGCTGCTTACTCCCTCCCCGGGCAGGTCCGCAGTGGCCGCGTCGGTGCTGGTGAGCAGCGTGGCCACGGGCAAGCAGCCTTCCCCTCTTCCCACCGCTTGCCTCCCTCCTGCCTCTGCTGAATCCCTTCCCCGCACGCTGCCTCGTATTATACCCGTCTGGGGCTCCGTCATCTCTCACCATAGCAACCAATAGGAAAGGATGGGCAGGCATCTTCGAGTGATGTGGGAATGTTATCCCTAAAAGCTGCTGCTTGGGAGAAGTATGTACCTCTGAGGCAGAAAAAACAAGCCAGGTAGTTTCGTTTGCTGGCTTGGTTGGAGTTTTCTTTATTTCCCCCTATCCACAGTCCCCCAGCAAGACCATCACTGCAAGGTCTGGGGTTAGAGACACGTTAGCCCGTGGTATGAAGTCTGGGATCCTGACCTGTGGTACATATTGATAGTTTAGCACTCAGGGGCTTTGTCTTTTAATTCTATGATTTCTTGCATTTAATTCTATGATTTCTTGCACATTTAAACTACTGATTTAAGCCAAAGCAGTAGATTTTCATCCTTGATGCTGCAGAAATGTCCATTAGCTTTTTACTATTTTCTAAGCTGTGTGGTGGGAGTAGGAACTGAGTTTTCAAAGACCTCAATTTTTTTTCCGTGGGATGAAGACAGTCTCTTCTTTGAATGCTCCTGCCTTATAGACAACTCAGGGATGTCCCCTGTCTCTCTGGTGAGAGGGCAGGAGGGAGAGGCAAAGCCAGTGCCAGTGGTGTTCGGGGGAGCAGTCTGAGTCTGTGGCCAGGAGGGGACAGAGGTGGCGCTGGGCCTGGTAAAGAGAGGCTCTGAACAAGTGATTTGCTGCTCTCTGAAGCCAAAATGTGTTTGAGAGAGGAACTTTCTCAGAATTTTGGTTCTGGGTCTGGAGTTACTCATTCCATGTCATTCCTGGGAAGGTGCTTGCAACATTTCAAAGATCTTCTCAATATCAACAGTGATGAGATGATGCAAACTGCATCAAGAGGGGCTATTACAAGCCCAGGGAGTATGTGTGGCCCTTGCTTTTAATTTATGTTTTGCAGCTCTGGGTGTTTTGCTTTTGTCTTCCAAGATCTGCATTCCCTTCTGTCTCTGTGAGTGAGCTGTGGCTGCCAGCGAGCTGAAAACTGGGAGCAGAGATGAAAATTATTATGAGCAGGGATGGAAATGAAAGTGCTCCCAGGTGGCTTCTTGCCGTTTACACAGCTCGGTCCTGCTTCTGAGAGCAGGGGGATAGAGAGCTCTTAGCTGGTCCCATGCTGTGAGTAAAGTACATCCTTGCCTGCAGGGAGAGTGCTGAGGGTACAAATCCATGCTTCAGAAAGGTGCGTTACACACGGTGGTAACGTTGTCATGAGAGAACTGCTTTCTCCTGGCGTTTGGGTTGTTGAGTTTATCAGTGTTCACAGTTGCTTCGAAATTAAATTTCAGTTGTTCACAAATAAGAGGTGTTAGCTGGAAGAGAGGGAACCAAGGAAAACAGGAATAGCTGGATGAGGCCAGGAAAGGGTCCAGCTGACCTTTCTGCATGCTGTGATCAATACCACTGGCTCAAAGGAAACTGCAGCAAAGTTTTCAGTGGTGTTGGTACTACCTGCTCCCAAAATCAAGCTTGCCCCAGTTTACACTGGTGATGAGCTTGAAATTCTCATTTTCCAGAACGAGAGGATACCAAAACCACGCCAGTGCCAGGACTGCTCCAGCACTGGTGTTGCCCATATCTGCAGGTGAACCCGGCTGTGGCCCTGCCTGGAGCCCCTCGCTGCTCACTGTAGGATGCAAACTGTGGGTGCGCTCCAGTGGCCAGCAGAAACAGAGCCATTTTCTGCCATTCAGCCACTTACGAAACACAGCAGGTTGCCAAGTCTCTGACAAAAAAGCTGCAAAATTACCAGTAACCCACTACTTACTGCTTGTGAACCACTTCTTAGCTCTGTAAATGCGTTAGATTGGGCTTTATTTATGTATTTTCATGAGTGCTTCTGTTTTCCTTGGCACTGCCAGACCCAGGGTCACGCCAGACTCTCTGGAAATCCCTGTTTCCCTTTCCCTGCTTGAATATGCCCCCCCCTTTTTTAGTGAGCGCGCAGGCAGATGTAACCTGAAGGACAGTGCATGCTGCTGGCGCTTGTAAAAATAGTTACGGCGTGTGAATGGGATGAAGCTGCTCTATTTTCTGCTGCCGTGTCTGCAGCAACAGCACGAAGGTGTTAAGGAGCTGTTGATGCTACAGGAGGTGTTGGCAGCGGGGGCTGCTGATCCCTCCAACCAACCGCGCGGGCTGTGCTACCTGGCCTGCCGCGGCCATCGGAAATAATAGTGTATACAGTTCCTGAAAATCAGGAGTTGGTATAGTGAGTCATTCTGCTGAGACACAGAACATACACAGACACAGTCTCAGTACAGTGTATAAACATGCCTGCTGCATTGTACATGTCCTGTCCATCCGGGCTAGGGAATATGTTCGGTTTTTTTTTTTTGCGTGAAAGTCTTAGCAACCGGCTGAATATGGTAAAAGCTTCATGGGAGAGAGAAGGTTGCTTGTGGCAGGGGAAGGAGCCAGGCCGTATTCAGGCTTTTTGACTTGAGAGAACCTCCTCTGACAATTCTGGTCAGAATTGTTTTTCACTTTCTACAACACCATTTCAGCTGTGGTGCTGAAGTTAGGTTGGCTTGGAGCCAGGATGAGTCTTGGGCTGTGTGCAAGTCCTTATTTGTCTCTTAAGTATATTCCTTTTTCATTAGCTCTTCATGTTTCCAAGGGGGTTCTGGCATAGGCAGTATTATCTGTCTATTGTCTCTCTCTCTAGTCTATTTTATTGGGTAAAAGTCCCTGCCTTCTCTCAGGTGAGCTCAGACAGGTCTGCATGGTGGCCAACAACAAGCTCAAAGACATGGAAGTCACAACTGGGTTTTGGTTTGCTTCATTTGCTGATGAGTTAGCTCCGGAGCATCCCTGGTAACCTCCTGAGCTCCCAAAGCAACGTGGGGGCCTTCCCCACATGCTTTAAGCACGGATGGCGGTCCCTGAGACCTGGGCACAGGGTGGGACACCTGGGCTCTGGAGGACACTGGGAACTCTGCTCTGCAAATCCCAGCCTGCCAGCCCCAAAACCTGCCGATTCAGCCCCAAATCAAAGGTGGAGCAAACCTCCGCAGCGTCTCGGGCAACTGCTGCTGCCAAGGGGTGCTGAGATTGGGGGCTTTGCTCTGGCTCTGCAAGGAGGTGGAAGCGGCTGTCCCACGCGGGAGAGTGAGCTATGCCGTGCCATGCAGCCAGCTTGTACCTTCAGCTGTTTTGTCTTAAAATACCCACTGGTGTCATTTTTTACATCCTACAGTCTTTACCCCAAGCTGTGTATCTCACCCTTAAATGGAGTTATATTTTTAATTGCTGGCAGAGTAGTATTATTAGACACGAGCTTGCTGCTAATGCGCTGTGTGGCTCTGCGGAGAGCTCGATGAAGCTACCTCATCTTGCAGACAGGCAGGGATGAATCATGCCGCTCATCTGCAGCCAATGCACATCCTAAAATATGTCTTCTCCCAATCAGGCTTATTGCTGAGACCCCCACTTGAGGGAAAAGCCTGCTTGAAAGCTGCTCTCCAGTGCCATTATCCCGCTGAGAGGCAAGGGGCTGCATGGCAGCACTGGCCACTCACTGCCTGTACAGTGAAATGTCAGCCCCGTTACAGGGAAAATCTGACCAGTTGCTCCACAAGTGGGTACTGGTGGTGACCCATCTCGGGGCACCATGGCACGTGTGCAGACAGGAGACTCATCTCCCAGCCATGGAGTAGCAAAAAGGCTTCCAGAGATGAGTGTGGATTCATGAGCCCACTGAAGTGGGGATGTTTAGTCTTCTCTAGCCTGGACGAGCCACCGGTGTGCTCACCGTGGGAAGTAACAGGGGAAAGGAGCCTCCGGGGAGACATGGAACGAGAATGCGAGGAGGCATCGTGGGGCCGCCTGGCTCAGCCCCGCAGCACGGTGCTGTCTGGGGCTGCCCGGGGCCGGAACGACCCACTGCGAAAGCCACAGCAACAGAACGCCGCGGGAGTGCGGCTGGGCTGGGGCCCTGGCAGGTTACTGGCTTCCCGCTGGGATGATCCTGTCAGCCGTTTGGCAAGTGTCCCAGGGAGTTAGCTGGTGTTTAAATGGACACGCTTTTCAAAACATAAACTATTGCTTGTTTTCACGTGTATCGGTGTGCGTATCTACTGGCTTTGGATCAGTCTCTACCAAACAGATTTTTAAAGATTGGATATCTAAGGATGCAGATAGAAGCTTAAGCAGGATGCTCAAATGCCATTCTCTTAACAGGAGGTGACATCCAAGGAGCTTTGGAAGTAGGCTTCTGTCTGCCTGAATAATTTTTAAACTCTGGCCTGTACTTAGTCAGGGCTCTTTTGTTTTGTTTTACTGGGAGAAAAAGTTCATGCTCATGAATGAATGCACTACAGAGCCTCCAAGGTGGCCTTGGAGGTACATAATGCCCTGTCCCTGGAGGTGTTCAAGGCCAGGTTGGATGTGGCTTTGAGCAACCTGGTGTAGTGTAGGGTGTCCCTGCTCATGGCAGGGGGATTGGGACTGGATGATGTTTGAGATCCCTTCCAACCCAACCATTCTGTGATTCTATGATAACAGAAGACTATATTTCACAGAAAGTGAAATTATATTTCACACAAAGTAGGGGACTTTCTAACTGTGTCTGCTGTCTGCCAACTCTTTCAAAGAGCACCTAAGAATTACAGTAGGCAATAAACTGCTGGATCAGAGCAGTGGGGCTGTGACAAAAGGATGGGCCAATTAATTAATTAATTAATTAAAGCAACTGAGAAGTCTATGAAAGCACAGTCAGTACATCAGTCCACTGAAATTGTTTGTCTGAGAGCAAAAGAAAATACTTTTCTGATTTTTAGCAAATGGCTTCACTTTGTAACTCATTAGTAACTCAAATAAGGTGTTAAAGTAAATCTCGAGGAAGTGAGTCAGAACTGGAGGGCAACTGAAGCCTTCAGCTGGCTATATTGCAGTCGCTGGGAGCAGCAGTGTTGGAGGATAGACAATGTTTTGTCCTGTCCTACTACTTCAGCACTTGCTCCCTTTCACCCTGAGCTCTCCAATGCATTGGTCCCTCCGCTCTCTTGGCTCTGTCACTGGCAAGGAAGGGAATCCCTGTAGGGTGGGGTCTGCAGTAACCACAGGGAAGCAAGCTCCCCGCTGCCTGAGGATGCCGTGTGCCTCTAGCATGCAGCATTCGCACAAGAAGCAAAGTCAACCTTGCATGGTGTGTTTGGGATACAGTGTAATTTGATTTCTTATCCTTGCCCAAGAAAGATCTTTTGGTAAGCATGACCCAGGGGTTTATCTGTGTTTTGCTGGAAGGGGCACTACATGCCAGAAAGTTTTCAAGAACATGATTTTTTTTTGGTTATAGATGGCGTGGGGGCAGACCGCAGCCCTTCTCTGCTGGGCTGTGTCATGATGCCAACACTTCTGTAGCAAAGCCGGAGCCGAGCACGCAGTGTCTCAGCTAAATCTGATTGTCAGTATTTTTTTGGCAGATCACACAAGGGAATTAATTCCCCCTACTTCTGTTTCCCTTACACCAAATGAATCCTATAAATGTTCCAGTGATAAAACATTGCAGCAATTTCCACATTTCCAAGATTACACTGATAGAGTACATTCCTAGAAATCACTTTCTGTTTTCTGCTGCTAAAATTTTTGGAGGGCCAGAGCCCTGGGTATTATTCTCCCTAGGCCAGGGTTAGATTCTTACCCTTTTCACAGTCCCATGGGGATGTCTGTCAAGTACAGAGGCTGATATAGAGCTTGGCAGGATGCATAAGTGTTCTTTTCCGTGTCTCTTCCAACTGTCCTTAGGCTGCAATGCTGCAGTTCCTGCTTTTCTTAATAAGCATCATCCTAAAGCAAGGGCTTATAGAAAAAACATCTGTCTGATTACCTGTATGTAAACCTTTTCGGTTTAGTAGAGAAGAATTTGGGTTTGAAGAGGCAAAGGGCTAATGAACTGAAATCCTTGATTGGGAATGTATGGGAGAGTAAATTACCATGGAAATGAAAGTGATGTTGCTACATAGCAGGATAATAAACCGTGTGATGTGACAGTGTGTTGAGATTAGAATGTGTCTTAACTATCTAGGAAGAAAAGCAATCTCCTCTTTGCCACATGAAGTAGAAGAAATGGGAATAGTCATGGGTATTATTATTTCTCATTCTCTATCTTAAAAATTATTTGAAGTGATGGAGCTTAATACTGTGATAAGAGAATTGCTTACAGGTTTGGTAAATGCTCCTGTCTAACTGTCGTTGTGCTTCTAATTTCTCAGCCTCTCAACATTGCCTACAGTCACATCTATAGCTCCTACCGCAATTTTGTGGGGCCACCTCATTTCAAGACGATCTGCAGGCTTCTTGGCTATCAAGGCATCGCAGTGGTCATGGAAGAGCTGTTGAAGATCGTCAAGAGCCTGGTAATTCTGAGCCTCATTCTAGTGACGGAGAAACCTCGATGCCTTGAGAGGCACAAGTTGGACAGTCAGCCTGGGCTTTGGGTTCAGGCTGTTCAAATCGGGGCACCTTCATGCGCCTTGATCTACACTGAAACACTTGTATTAACAGTCTGATTTTCACTGTTGCTGATGAATCCCGCTGATTCCTGTGAGATGGTGGAATGTTTCCACCATCTTGGAGTGTTAACTGTGATCAGCCACCTACATCTGGGGGTGGTGGAATTGGCATCCTGCTTTGCTAAAAGCCACTGGGAAGTGCTGGGGTGGGACATGGCACTCACGGTCCCTCAGCACTGCCTGTGCTGCAGCCTGGGAGACCTACAACACGTGCTCGTGCTCAGCAGTAGCACAAGAGCACTCGGTATCACAACCTTGTCATACCCCTGGAGAGCTGCAGGAAGGTAGAGAGCAGGCAGCAAAACTGATGAAACCAACTTTTTGAATCTTTATAAGAAAATGTGTGCTGGAGGTGAGTCCTTATTCAAGCCATACTGTCCATTCTCATCAAGTATTCCAAAGCCAGGCTGCCAACAGCCCTATCTGCTTTCTAGTTCTCTCTTCTTTTTCAGAAGAGAAATGTGATGTCCGCAGGGAAATGATCCTGTGTGCTCCCTAAGGGCACTAACAATACTAAGCATTAGGAAAGGAGGAGGAAGTGCGCAAAAATATATAATTTTTCAGGTCATGCTTTTCTACTAAAACCCTTGCTTCACTGGAAAGATGAATTTCATTCATTATAAATCTTCAAAATTCTGTTTCGACTGCAATGACGTCATTCTGAAGTTGTCTAACAAAGCAGTGTAAAACTGAAAATCTCAAGCGTATATCCAGTTTCCCTACTGTAAAGCACCGTAGTTACTGCAGATGTAATTTGTGTCACTTAGTCGAAAATGCTGTAGCTGGTGTTTGAGATCAGACAACATTCAGCACAAAGACAAAGATTTTATGTTTAGCTAAATAGTATTTAGTGCATAATCCCGTATAATGTATCTACAGGATGCAGGTGTATTGCTCCAAATGACAGCAAGCGCTTTTAACTAGGAAATGTACTTGGCTCTTGTCCATGTTAGTTCAAAACATCAGATCTGCAGCAGCTTGTTCTACAGGCATGTACATTCTTTCTTAAACCCTGAGTATTTAGTGATCATTCCTCAGGTGGAAGGAGCATTTCCTGTGCTGGGGAATGAATCCTTTAGCAGCTCTGGTGAAACACTTTTTGGGTTAGGAGCACAAGTCCAGCTGGATCTAAGACTGAGCCATGTTTGGATTTCAGCTGCAAACAATGCAAACACAGCAAGCTGTATTTTGAAGTTGTAAATCCATGCAGCTGTGATTTATTATTTGGGAGGAAGCTGTAAAAGCACTCTAACTCCATACACTTGGGATGAATTTTATGCTTGAGTGAAATCCAAATTAAGCAAGTTCTTCTTGGACTCCAGCTGAAGTTTCATCCTGTGTTGTCAGATGTGGATCCATCCACAACCAGCCTCTTTCAAAACCAACACCAGGAGAAGCCGTCATTCCAGTTTAACCTCCCTTTGTCCCCCACAGCTACAAGGCACTATCCTGCAGTATGTGAAGACTCTGATCGAAGTAATGCCCAAGATCTGCCGCTTGCCAAGACATGAATATGGCTCTCCAGGTGGGTGCTGCGGATAGATGCTTGAGCAAGAGCTCACCTGCGTGTTGGTACAGCGTTTACTCAGGCTCACACTCATAATTAAATGAGGTTTGGCACCTGACGTGCCAGTGCAACGTGCAGCCGGGCTTGCTGAGACACTTTCAGCTGCTTTGCTATTGACACCGGAACCTGTATAGGAAACTTTTCCAGGAAACGTCCTGTTGGAAATTTCCCTTTGAACATGCAAATGGCTGATAAGGGAATATCTTCTGGTAGCTTCTGTTTTGTTTTCAAGGTTTCGTAAGCTTTTGTTATTGTGGGCTCACTGATGTTTTTCAAAAGCTCTACTTAGTTGATGCAAAGATTTTTTGCAGCATGACTGCAGTCGGTCTGCCATTGAGCTGGATGGGGGAACTCTGGCTGATATACATGAGCCAGCATCAAGACATCCACTACAGTCGTGCATCTCTTTTTTTCCTCTGGTGAGGAAATCCAAGGACTTCACAGGAATTACTCCCTGTTTCCCAAAGGTTACTGAAAGCGGGATAAGACACTGCGTGCTCGTTCTCCCCAGCGCCAGTCCCCGTCTATCTGTTTAGCAGTCGCATCTTGCAATTTGTGACTAAGGAAATACCAGGCACTGATTGTTTTTATATCCAAGTTACTGGAGGGTGATTCTGCTCTCACTTTTCTGACCGTCATTCCTTGTCTTTTAAGGAATCCTGGAGTTTTTCCACCATCAACTGAAGGACATCATTGAGTACGCAGAGCTGAAGACCGACGTGTTCCAGAGTCTCAGAGAAGTGGGCAATGCCATTCTCTTCTGCCTCCTTATCGAGCAGGCTTTGGTAAGGCAAAATCCCCCCTGCACCAACAGATCATACTTGAAATTGCCAGGTCAAGAGTGTAAGTGGAAGTGGGTTCTCCAGCAGAAGAGTTTGGGAAATGTTACTTTCCAGCTTCTCGTGTGCTCAGGGTCTCTCTGGGGCTGTGTTATTGGGGTCTGTGGGCATGTCCATGGGGATGGTGTGCATTGGCACTTGGTCACTGACATCTGGGATTGCGGAAGGAGAATCTGAATACTGGAAGATCTAGATTTAATTCTTGAACCCAAAGATACCCCTTGTTCGACCTTCTCAGAAGTAAGACCAACTGGAGCTTATTTCTAGGTTGTAAACTCTCTGGGGCAGGGATTGATACTTTTTAATGTACATATTTGTACAGTGAGAAGTAGATTTGAGCCCTTTGCTCTTTTGGGATGCCAGTGCCATGAAAAAAAAACTTGATTGATTCTAATGGTGATAAGGATAAAGCAATCCAACAGGAAGGAAATCTCAGAAGAGCTGATGATATATTTCCTATGACTTATCTTCAGTGAAAACTTAGCTGGAGTGATGACTTTGTATTGGCCCCTGCACAAGTGTTTTGCACATGCACAAGTCTCTCAGCTCATGTGATGCCCTTTCTGGTGATGGGCAAAGGCTGCGGCTGAGTGCCACACATCTTCTTAGCTTCTATCTTTTCACACAATAAATTTACTTCGCAATGAATTTATCTCACAGTTTGACCTAGAACCAACTGAGGAATGTTCAACAACACAATTTTACATTAAAAATGTGTATTTCATGTCATAATGGTTTTGGCAGGGTTGTTTCAGTTTTTCCAGAAATATTTCAGAAAGACTTCCCTAGCATATGATGACATTTCCAAGCAAAGCCAGAAAGTTTTGTTTAGAGCAAAACCAGGAGGAAGTTCAAAGCTTCCAAGTTATCCAACCGTAGAGCACAGGGAAAACTGAAAATCTCTGCATGTCCTCAAAATGGATTATTTCTGCCCTTGCCTTTGCATTTTAACCCCAGGTATACTTTTAGTTCCTGATATGGTGTATCAAACACATGCAGTGAGTAGTAGTTGTGTAACATTAAGAAAACTGGAGAGATGTGTATCACCTAGCAGCTTGGCTTTATTTTATAGAATGACCAGAATTGCCAACTGTATCCTGGCAGTTTCTTTTCCTTTTGTGGCTTTGTCACTGCTTTCTGCTCTTCTCGTGTTGGATTTTATACTGGTTGTACTACGTTTGCCTTTTTGGTCCCATCTTTAAATGGATACTTCAGGGACACATGGTGGTTTCTTTTAGAAACGCTTCATTTTGATGCAAAAATGTTCCTCCAGTCCCAGAAGCTGTACATCAGCAGTATGCTGTTTTAGAACAGCAGAAAATAAAAAAAAAAATGATGATGGTGAGAATTTGGGGTCCGTTTAGGAAGGCTGCCCATCAAAGTCCATGTCTGCCCGCTTTCCACGCCAGCTGAAGCCTCTCCCTCTCTGATCCCCTGTTTTTCCACACAGAAATGGATTCAGAACATAAAGCCATTTTGCACGCAGCGGGTGCTGGTTCTCGCTCGCTGGAAGATGTCAGATGCATAGAGCCATCGTGTAACAAGATTTCCCCTCTAATGGAGCTCTTATGCAGCAGGAGCGATTGCTTTTACGGTGCAGTTATCTCCATAGCTGTCAGAATGATCTAAGGCGGGTGGTATTTGCTGGCAGAGACTGCTCCAGTGAAGATGTGCAGTCTGCTCCGTTCTACTCCCTTTTTGTTGTTTAAATTTGAGGAATGAAGGGTTGCTTGGGACTAAATTTCTAAGCAGAATTCTTACTCTCAGGTATTGGGCCTTGGGGAGGAGATCTGTTAATAACATGACTAATTTTGGGACAGATATCAGGTGAATACAGGCTGCAGATGGTTAAAAATACTCTCCTTATCAGAGGGAAACAGCAGTGAAAGAACATTCATCTAGGAACAAGTAGTGTTTTGCAGACAAAATAACTGAGGTGACAGGCACACTCCATTAGCATCAGCATCTCTCTGCGCATGGAGGGACCCCGGACTGCTCCTGTCCTCCCAGTACTGTGTCACAAACTGCACTCCCACAAACTTGCTCTCATCCCAGCATCCATGCGCCAGTACAGCTCCTGCAGCTCCATGCTACACTGTCCTCTCCCTCTTGGCTGGAAGGTGGGGTATCCACCCACCCGTGCATCCCAAACGGACCCAGCCGAGTCATTCCATCTGGCCCCCAAATATCTTTGCTGCGCTGTCATGACCTGCTTTCGAGTGTGTCTAAATCTCTACGATAAGCCCAGAACTGAAAGCATGTCCTAGAACTGGACTTTTGTAGGAGCAAACTAGTGCCTTGTTGTGACGCAATGCCTCTGTGTTAAACAGCTTTGGTTTCCTTGCTGCTGTTTCCCATTGCAGACTCGTATACAATGTATTGTCAGCCATCGCTCCTCAGTCTCCACCTGCCTATTTCTAGGTTTCTCCTCCTTGTGCATCTGTGTTTGGGATTATTTTTTCTCAAGTGCATCGGCATGCATTCTCTCAGGGGGCATCTCATGATGTTACTCCTCTCTGGACTTCTGTATTATTCTCCCCAGTGCCTACACCACTGGGATTCTGGTCTGATAGCCCTGGCTGAGAACATCATGTGAACAAACAAATAATTTCAGACCAATGCATTATGTACCTATTTGCAATAGAGCCGTGCATCAGTATATTTTACACATACACATCCTAAAATTACTAAGCCAAATGGTTATTTCCACCTGGACAGTCTCTGTAAAAATAAACAGCCCGAAGTCATCAGGGTAGGATGATGAAACTGAAACCTCCATGTTCTTTATCCCCTCGTACTTGCAGTGCTAGTAAGTGGGACAGAAAATAAATATAAAGCTCTGGCCTTGTACAGGCAGAAAGTAACTTATTTGAGTTAAGGAAACTTCCTGGCTTAAGTTGAGAGGTATTTCTTCCAGTTTTAGTTCATTTAGGTTCAAACCATCAGAGCTACTACTGAGCTGGGTTGGATTTGAATAGGTGCCATAGACATGAATTGTTGTAGTGTTGCCCGGGCCCCTGAGCCATACACTCAACCCCTATAGGTATTTTTAACTTACTTTATCTTTCTTTCTTCCTGCCTCAGTCCCAGGAAGAAGTTTGTGATTTGCTGCATGCTGCTCCCTTCCAAAATATTTTGCCCAGGGTCTACATCAAAGGTAAGAAGCTGAGAGGGAAGCAGTGGACAGACTCAGAGGTCTCTGCCCAGAAGCTGTTTCTCTCCCATTTCTGCTGAGGATTAGTTCTGGCCCTGCTTCCCCCTCGAAATAGATAAGTGGATACAGCCAAAAGTCAGGTGGAAACAAATGCCAAGGGTGCATTTTCTGTAGCCTAGTTACAGACTGAAACCTTAGTCAGTTTGGGGGTTCCCTTAAGGTTTTAAAGCCATTTCACAGCCTCTTTGGAGAGTGACGGCATGAAATGTCCATCTCAACAGGAGTGGTCAGTAACAGGGACATGCTTTTGGACATGTGTGATTAAGCTGCTGCTGAGACTGCAATCGCACATCCCTCCCTTCTCTGCATCACTGGTTCCCTCATTCGCTGTCGGTTTGGCTCGCTGATCCACAGTCTCGTTGGACGGTTGCTGGGGGGCAGCTCTGAGCAAACTCGGCGGAAATTGCGGGTCTCCACTTCCTCCTCTCATTTCACTGTTTGCTGCTCGCTTGACAGAAGGAGAACGCTTGGAGGTGCGCATGAAGCGTCTCGAAGCCAAGTATGCCCCACTTCACCTGGTTCCCTTAATAGAGAGGCTGGGCACTCCGCAGGTAAGGATTTCATTGAAAGGGATGGCTGTTGAAAATTCATAGCAGTCCCCAGATGGCCTGTTTGGCCTTGGGAAAGTGATCCTTCTTTTTTTTTCTTTCTTCTTTTCTTTTTCTCCCCCCCAAAACATCAATCAGACAAGAAAATCAGAGTCCTTGCCCTAGCAGATACTTCGAAGGGAAATTCGTGAGCAGATCCAGAGATGGTGTGTTGCTGCCTCCTTTCTGGAGAGCTGGCAGGGAGCTGTAAGGCAAGCGTGCTAGAAGCCAGCTCTGAATAAGGACGATTCTGAAAAACTCTCTTCTCCTTCATTGTAAAAAGATGGAGAATTGCTGGGATGATTTGAGGGGAAACTTTGCAGGGCTGTCCCTGACTTAATCAATTGCCATCACTTTTGGGGATCCCATTTAGGGCTGCAGTGTGGTCCCTTTTTAAGCTCATCCCTGTCAAGGAATACGCCTGAGAATGGTTTCCCTCCTAGCACATGCTTAGAGCTTCAGCACATGCTTAAAATTACAGCTCCATTTAAATGTCTTCTTGAGGTGGGTCTCGGCTTGGAAAAGATTTCTTGTGCAGAAATTGAGTACTGTTAAAAATATCTCCATCGATTGATCAAAACAATGGGCAAAATTTGAGCTCCATTGGTATCAATAGCCAAACTTCCACTGCCTACTTAGTGGGGTTGATGGGATAAAAGCCATTCAAAGTATTAAATGAATCAACACCCTTTTTTTGTAATGTTCTGCCGAGGGAATGGAACGAACACTCAGTTGTATGAGGTGACAGATGTGTGGCAGGCAGAAAGTTGTTGATTTTTTTTCCTGTTTTTCTGATGGATCAAGGACATTTTGAACTTTGCTTCATTGGAAATCATATGAAACAAAGAAATTGGCTGGATAACTGAGGGCTTTGTCTTACTTTGTAGACACTTCTCTCACTTCCCATTTACTTCCTTTTAAAGGAGACACTCGAGAAAAAGAATTCACCTCTGTGTTTTTGTGTCTTTGTGTTGGTCTTTCTATCTCTTCTTCTTTCCATGCAAAATCATCATTGAAATCTGCTATTAGAGTCCACTCGTTGCTTATCCCTGCCATAGTTACGATAGTGATGAAAATAAAAGGAATTTCATGTCCCGCTAAAAATTAATTTTTCTGTAAACTGTTCCCATATTCATCACACAGGTACAGTTGAGTACCAGACCTTTTTTGCGCTCAGGTGTAAATAAACACAAGAGTCACTCTCTATAGGTGCCTCCATAGCTTCTAAGCTTGCTCCTTATGCAGTTTTGGACATGCATTTTGGAAATGCAGTTTTGGACACAGGCCATATGGGATTTTTTTCCTGCAGAACGCATAAGTGCCTTTTAGCAATTGTCCAGAATCTGAGCAGAAGGTACCTGCTAGATGCCTCTCCCGAAAGGTGGCCCTGTGCATTTCATATAATTATATGCTGTCAAAGGGCTGAGCAGAGGCTGCTGTAGTTAGCAGGGATCTATCAATCTTTGCAGGCTTTAGCTACGGTTCTTGCAAGCTTGCCAGTTCAGAGGCTGTAAAAGAGGTATGGCACAACGGGATTTGTGCAACGGCAGGAGAACTGTTGGTGATTGCTGTAAATAATTGTCTTGCATTGGGAATCCAGAAGCAGCTGTTTGATAGGTGATTCATAAAGAACCAGAGAGATCAAAGTGGTTCATTAAAGGAATCCTCTCCCTTTTAATACTGATCATAGGGGTATTTAGTAAGGGATTTTCAAAAGTGCTTGATGAGTCTGATTTTTCACTGAAAGCAATGGGAGCCTTTGCTTTTGAAGACAAAAGGAATAGTTGAGCCAGCACAGTGGGATCCTTTATCTTGAGAGCACCCTTCCTCTCCTGATCTTAGAAATCAGTGGGACTGCAGACTGTGAAGCAGATCTGGCCACAAGACTAACAGCTCTCCAGCTGCTTTCACCATGATATGTACCCAATGGTTAGAAATGTACCCAACGTATCAACGTATATGTTTATATGTGCATATCAACGGTTAGATATGTACCCAACAGTAGTAGTCCTGTATCAAAGACTGTTCTTATGAGGATGAATTTTAGAACCAAATTCTGTCTGTGAATGTGCATAACTGAGTGGCACTACATCCTTTGAAAGCCAGTTGCATCCCTTTCTAGATTAAAATTTCTTCCAAAACAGCATAGCAAGATCATTGAACTAGTTTATTTTCAAAAGTACCTGTTCTGTCATTGTATCTTTGCAAGCAGTAATGCAAACACCTGATTATATTTGAGATGACTTTACTTCTACTTTGTCCCCAGTTTGCCATCATAAACTAGAGTGTGCAGATGCTAATCTGTACCCACAAGAGCTTGGAGCAGGTGAGGAGAAAAAGTGTACGGCCTTTAACTATAAAAACAAGCTGGATAAAATAAACCTTTACTTGCTAAGCAAACATATGCAATTGCATGCCATGAAACTGGTGATATCATTCCCGTGTTTAACAAATCTAGGGATCCCAGACCCAATCTGGCCTCTCCACAGCAAGATAGCTTTCCCTTGATATTTGCTATTAGTTGAACATTAATTGAACCCTGAGGTTCCTAGAATGTCCTTGAAATTGTGACACAGGCAGGAATTGTGACTCTTCTAGTTTCAACAGCCACCAAACTAAAACTGCTTTAGGTTCCTGCCAGCATAAACTAACAGTGAGGAAAGGGGATGTGCAGGCACATTCTTTTTTTTTGTAGAGTGGAATAAAGATGACCCAAGTAAACTGAGCATAATTCATATTCTTAATGTCTGGCCAGGACACGTGTCTGCCCCTTGTACCAGATGTTCTGAGGCCCCATCATGATTCTGATCAGGATGACATTTTTATAGACATTACAGGGACAGCTGGAAATGGAACAAATGCTTAAAAACTGCTTAAAGCTCCAGGAAGTCCTCTGGGATAGGCAGGGGGTCGGTAAGCGTCACGCTTGCTCTGCATGCCTCTGCCAAAGCGGTGTGAGACCAGGGCACCATGGCAGCCACTCGTCTGCTGGGGTGAGCACAGCCGAGCTGGAGCTTCCCACAGCCATGGGCATGGCTCTAACAGCACTTGGCTCCTGTTTCCCATGTTATTTTTGGCAGCGCTGCAAAGAGAAGTCAGTAATGCCACTGGAAATGGCAAGAAATGGGGCAGCTCAGAGGATATCAGGGCAGCGAGCAAGGTCCACGCTCACAGCCCAGCCCCCAGTTAGCTCAGTGGAGTCAGTAAGCAAGGGGGGAGGCCCTGCTTGCTTGTTTAAAAATCCCCTTTTTTTTTTCTCTCTGAGGGAGCAATGGGGCTGAAATGAAGTAGATTCTGTTTCCTCTAATCTAAAAGCCAAATGAACTCCATCCAATGGAGCCGTTCCAGATTTGTACATGTAAATCTGAGTGGGGATGTCACAGAAATTCTCCACACATGTAAAGCTTCCACATCTGGAGAAAAATACTATTTGACTTTCTTATAAACCACAGGTTTTCCAGTATTAAGGTTCCGGTGGCTTCTCATCTTTTAACCCTAACTACAAAAGAAATCAAGAAAGCCATAGGCTATCTACATTTTAAAGAGACGATGGCAATGTCCTGGGAAGCAAAATGTCCCTGTTTTCTCCTGTTTTATTTTTGTAATCTGCAGAAATCCTGAAATTAAACCCAGCAATGCTGAGTAGCACTAATACAACAGAACAGCATGCTAGCGGAATTAAAGATCGGTATTTCTGATCAGAGCTTTGCCTTCAACTTTTGTTTTCTGACATACAAAGTTATTTCAAAAGATATTTAGGTTGGCAAAATAGAACCCAGCACAATATTAAGTCTTCTTCTGTTTGAGGGATGAGTATTCTCTGGTGGGGAGTGCCATGGGAGCAGCCATCAGAGGTAAGGATGGACCTTGCACGGGATGTGTGTTAACTCTGAAAGAGCCAGGGAGACCAGGGAGCGTTAAGTCCAATGAGAAGGTCCGTCTGTATTACGTTGTCACTTCTGTTTCTTTGGTTGTCCTCCTCCTCAGCAAATAGCCATCGCCCGGGAGGGTGACTTGCTGACCAAGGAGCGGTTATGCTGCGGGCTGTCCATGTTCGAGGTGATCCTGACGCGAATCAGGAGCTACCTGCAGGACCCAATCTGGCGCGGGCCACCCCCGACGAACGGGGTCATGCACGTGGACGAGTGCGTGGAGTTTCACCGGCTCTGGAGCGCCATGCAGTTTGTGTACTGCATCCCCGTGGGCACCAACGAGTTCACTGCAGAGTGAGTATCCGTTGGCCGTCCCTGCCGTTAGCGCAGCTCACGAGTTGCGGGGCCAGCAAGCCCCCGGGATGCCCTCAGCTCAGCGTAGAGGCAGAGGGGAAACATGGGTCCTCGATGAAAGGACTTTGTTGTGCATGGACATAAAGAGATGCCCGGAGAGCTTTCCATCTGAACAGCTGGGGAAAGGAGCAATGCAAAAGGACATGCCCAAGGTGACATGCAGAAGGAGAATGGTAGATGGGCTGCCAACCCAAGTCCCTCTTACCCTGTGATGCACCCTGCATAACCTGGCCCTGGTGTAATTCTCTGTATCTCCTCCTGAGTTCATTTTCTCCAGGTGTATACCCACTTTCTAGGAGTAGGACAGAATCTGATTTCCCTAGGAATTCACCAAGGAAAGTTCCTGGTGCCATGGCAGGACTTCTCTTACCTACCTCTATCCTGTCATCTCTCCCCACCCCATCACCCTTTCCTCCTTCCAGGCAGTGCTTTGGAGATGGTCTGAACTGGGCAGGTTGCTCTATCATTGTTCTGCTTGGACAGCAACGGCGCTTTGACCTCTTTGACTTCTGCTACCACTTGCTGAAGGTGCAGAGGCAGGATGGGAAGGACGAAATCATAAAAAACGTGGTAAGTTGAAGGGTGAGGTCCCAAAGGACCTGAACCAGCACCCTTCTGTCTCTATTTTCTGTCTTGCCTTGTTCAAACTCATAAATTGCAACCATGCTTGGTGTTAACCTTATTCAAGCTGAATACGCGCACTGTGAGATTTCTATCTGCAGTCTCAGCGGAGAGGCCAAGGTTTTAATTGGCTTGACAATCTAATCTTTTTTTTCTCCTAAACCTTTTCCCTTCTTCCTGCGGTTGGGAAGCTGGAGCAGAGAAGCTGGTATTTCCAGCAACCATCCTGTGATCTCTGTGGCTTTATCAATAAGCAGTTGGGAGTCTAGACTTTAGATCGGTTAAGTTAGGACCGCTCACTGACCTTGTTAATGCTCTGTCTTGAGTCATCAGACCCTGTAATGAAGTGAGTCTCCTGTCCCTGGGAGGTGCTAAGTGGCACTGTAACACGTGCTGTAGCTGCTTTGCTTTAGCAGAGGTTTCTCAGCAGCAGGGCAGAGGCGTTGGTACTTTCTAGCAGGTCAGAGGACATAAAACTCTCTTCATCTGCTGTTTTTCTCCCTCACCATCCCTCCAGCCCTTGAAGAAGATGGCCGACAGGATCAGGAAGTATCAGATCCTGAACAACGAGATTTTTGCCATCCTGAACAAGTACATGAAGTCAGTGGAAACAGACAGTTCCACGGTGGAGCATGTGCGCTGCTTCCAGCCCCCAATCCACCAGTCACTGGCCACCACCTGCTAGTGTGGACACTGACCCCGCGCGGGTTGGGAAGGGAGAAGGGACTGAACCCAGAACAGCTGGGAGGGGTAAACTCCACGGCGTGGGACCTGGCAACAAAGTAAGACTGGGTGTGCCTACTACACACAAGGACGCATCTTCCCATCCGGCCCTGTTTGAGTGCATGTTCTTCTGTACCATCCCTGTGATCGGTTTTACTTGTAGCTTTCAGACTTGGGGGTGGGTGGGGGCGGGAGGGCGAAATGTGCTTTTCTTCCATGAAGTGGTCCGGTTCTTCCCTGTGATTCATTCAATCCAACACATCACTCTGAAGCCATATTGCAGCCCCAAATATGGAAGTCCTGGTGGAAGAGCTCCATGTTTCCAAAGTGTCAAGAGCCCACTCCCATTGCAGAAGCAATGGGGCAAATCAATCCCCGCCATGACACGTGCCACCAGCCATGGAGCAGGAGGGGCTGAAGATTGATCCCTGATTCACTCTTTAGGGGCAGAAGGGATGAAGGCAGGATGTCACCTGTGGCAGCACCCTGAGGATCAAGTGATGGGCACAGAGGAGCCGTGCTGGGCTGGTCTTGGATGGCTGCATGCCCCAGGCTGGGGCTAGCTTCATGCTCTCTGCCAACTCTTTGGCCTTTCTAGTATCTTTTATAGGGAGGTTTGGCCTCTGGGTTTCAGAACAGCAATGATGTAGTTGCCAAATAACTCCTCAGCGCTTCAGAGGGCTGGGGAAAGAGAAAATGGCCTAGCTTTTTCCCTGGACTAAACGAGATTTCTTACGGACTTCAGAAGAGGCTGCATTCTTGTGAATGTTCTCTTGAACATACTAATTTGAATGGAAATAATCACTGGTCCTCACAGGAGGCAGGTGTAGTCCCCTAGAACATACATGATCTTTGGCCAAGGATGAGAGCTGGGGTATGTAATTTGCATATATTCTGGGATGCTATTTTCCCTTCTTTTAGACAAATTCCTAGTGGCACAGCAACCAAATATCTTTCTTCAGAGAATGATGACTATCAGCAGGGCTTAGGAAACCTCCCATCACTCAGAAATTATGTGATTGTTTAGAAGAGGTAACATACAGCATAAGCATTAAAAAATACACAGAATTCTCCAGATTTAAAGGCATTCAGAGGGAACACTAGAGTCCGTTTCCTTTTCCCACTCAGCTAATTGAAGATCCCTGGATATTGAGGAAAAATTCAGTAGGAACTTCAAGGAGGATTTCATAACTCATGGTCTTCCCTGCGTCCTCTCAGTAGTGTCATTGAAGTGATACAAAAGCTTGTGCTTGAAGTTAAAGATCAAACCGCATACTCCAAGAGAAAATGATGCTACCCTCACCACTGGAAATCTTTTAGTTTCTCAGCTTTAGCCAAGTCACAGCAGATAATTGCTGTTACAGTGTACAAATGTGATAATATATATTCCTTTCATGAATTTCATCAAGCCTTGTAAACTGCATGCTGTTACAGTTGTTAAAAAGGCAGAGCCTGGCCAGGCATTTATTCTCTCAGAGGGAACATATAATTAATTAGCAGAAATATCCCAGCTGGAGTATTTTGTCTTAGGAAACAACAGCCAGCAAACTATTTCTAGCAAGAGGAGATCTTGCTGGATGGGATGAATGTCGTCTCCCAGACGCTCACCACCTACTCCCTCGATAATCAATAAATACCCCACACATGAAAAGTGCTGGACGTTTTCACACCTTGAGGTTCCTTTAATTACCAACACAGACATTTAAACTGCAGGGAGGAAATTGTGCAGCACAATAATCTGAAAGTAAAATGAACTCTCAGGAAGTCTGGCTGAAGTCTTGGAGCAGCAGGCAAGGACCCAGCCCAGCAAGGTGAGTTGTTTCCTCTGTGTCATGAGAAAGAGCAGCAGAAGAGCATGTGGGACTCGATGGCACTGCAGGGCTCTTGCTCTCTAGTTACTCTTCCACTAAGGATGTCAGTTCTGGTTCTCCATCATGTTCCAGCACTTCTACACTACTGGAGTGAGGTTATCTACAGATATATATTTTTAAAAGGAAGAGGAAAATCAAGCACTTTATTTTTTGTGGAAAACAAGATATGTGGAAGATGGATCCAACCAAGATCCTGTTTTTCCTGACCTAAATAGTAAGTGCTTGTTATTTTGGTATCAAAGTGTTGCTGAAAAGGTGGCACAAGTCCCTGTCTGGCTCTCAGAGCCACCTCTGGGCACAGCACAAATTAAACGTCCTACTGTGTCTGACATGTTACGGGATGTTGGAATCTTCTCAGAAATCAGCATGAGCAAGAAGTTAAAACAGAAGGATGAACTGTACCACACGGCCCAGTCTCAGCTACCTAGACAAAATAGGATGTAGTAAGGTGAATTTAAATGCCTGTTTTCATCTGTTTAGGTCTGCAGTGAGTTGTGAAATATTGTACCTAAACATGAATATCACTTTACGTTCTTTTGCTGCAGTTTTGCCATAATAATTCTCTGAAATCCTGCAAAACAGAGTCGTGTATACTTCAGAGAACAGGTAAATGAAAACTATTTGTTGCCCTCAGGTTTGCTGGCAAAAACATAAAATCCCTTCAGATTCCGAGGGATTAAATGTTTAGAGCAAAATGTCCAAAATGCATGAACAAAATGTAAAGTGTTTTTGACTGTAGAGCGTATGCAGGTGTTTTGCCTTGTTGCTCAAGTAGTGTGAGATATCAGCTAGGAATAATCTTAAGGTCTTCATTTCTGAGGTTTGATGTTATTGTCCTTTTATTATCTAAAGGATGCAAATAGTCTTTAGCTTCAGTTCTGTAACCCTCCTTGATCGTTTCTGAGAAAAACGTCCAGGCTTAGGTCTTTAAAGAACTCCATGAAAATGGATTTTTTTTTTCCTCCTGTTCTTTTCTTAATGTCATAATTGTTAATGGAAATAGGGAGTGAATTTGTAACAGTAGGGCTAAATTGTGACAGGTTGCCATGGGTCGGGCACATTCTCAACACTTGCAGACTCTCTGCCAAGTCTGAGTATCTTTCTTGCAGGTATGCTCTAATCCTGTAGTCTTCAGCCTTTTACAATCTGCAGACCCCTAATATTTTTCCCTAGGGAATTGTGGACCCTTGTCTGGATACTTCAAGTCCGCTGAGTATGGGCTTGCTTTTTTGCCTGTGTTTTCCTGCTTACTCTGAAGTAGTTTGCAAACTCCCCGGGATTTACCAGCCACCACTTGGAATACCTACTTCAAAGACAAGTTGTTGGCTTGATACAAGCATTATTGGGGGAAGAAGGGACGGTCTGTGTCGTGAATGCAGTCAGACTAGGTTATTTTAATGTTCCCTCCAGCTTTGACATTGTAAAATGTGACTATTGGCAGCGCACATGCCTTTCTTGGATGATGCTACACTTGACTTCCAGTGATACAACAGAAAGGGGAAGCAAACTAATTCAAGCACAGCACTTCAGCGGTTTTCCTTTTAAACTCTGACAGCACTTATTAGCATTGAACAACATGTTAGTCCTTTTTTTCGTGCATTACTCCAGCCCAGTAGGTTCATGTGTGTTTGAGAACAAAAGAAAAAAGAATTGAAGGTGTAAAAAAACAAGAAAATATTCTCAAAAACTCTTGTCAAATGTACCATATTTGTATGAAAAGCTGCTTGAGTTATTTTGTACAATGAATTTTATTTATGGTGAGGTATATTTACGCTCGTGATCTGATAACAGTGTTAAATTTTCAATCCATATTTGCTATGCAGCTGAAGATGATATTTTGGTTTTGTATTATTATTTTTTGCTGTTGTTCTAAAATTCAGCTGGCAGAAGCTGCCGTCTCCATTAGAAATGCTTCTGCAAGAGTAAAGCATCTGGTACATGGTGATATGTCCCGTAACACAGCAACCAACAGTGTGTACAACAAATGTGGGATGACTTTTGTGATGAAAAGAAATAAAAATTGGGCTCATTCATGAAATGGGCAGACTTTATCTTGTGCTGTAATCATTGCTGCAATAACTATTATTTGAGGAGAGCCTCTGATTGCACCTGGCAGAAAGAAAAAGCTAAGAGGAATAATGATAAAAACGTCGAGCTTTTGTCAAAACCAAAGAAAAAGAAAAAAAAAAAAGAAACTTTGTGGCCAACACCAAAACAAACAAACAAACAAATCTTCCTATCAAAAAGTTAATGATTTTTGAGAAAAACATCTTTCCACAACAAATTTTCTGTTGCTCACCAGCCTGGGCTGCGGCACCAGGGACGCTGTTGCATCCTCCGCAGCCAGGAGGAAATGGCCTGCCTCTTGTGGGCAGGGTCGGTACCTTGAGTTGAGTAGTTAATTAGTTAATTAGTAGTAGTTCATTAGCTCAACTCAGTCCAGCTGGATAAGGATGATTAGTGCCATAATTTTCATTTGAAAACTTGTTTCAGTATAAAAGGGCTGGGGGAGGGAAAACTATATAATTATTTTTAATATAATTTGACAGGCTCTACTCAAAACAAAACCAAACTGAGGAGCTAATTTCCTCTCATCACCACAGCCTTGTCAACTCACCAGAGGCCGTTTTATTCCAGGAGACTCTCCTTGCTATTTTTTTTTCCAAATTTCCATATGAAACCTTTCTTAGGTTTGTGTTAAATGCAACTGAGGAGCAGCTGTAGTTGTTGACTGCAGAAGGAGCAGTGGGAACCGAGGAGAAAAGACCTTCTGGGAGCTGAGGAATCAGGATGAAACAACTGACATAGATTTATGAGAGTGGGACCACCTATGGCTTCATCAGCTCTAGACAAAATACTGTAACCAATGTTCCCTTTCATAGCTTCTTCCCAAGGTTTCCTCATGGGAACAGCTCCCTAGCTTAAGAAGAATAAAAATACAGTGATTCTTCACATAAAATTGGAAGTGAACTTTACACTGTGACCAGGCAGCTCTGTCGATCAAGTCATGGGGCACATGGTGTGCCTGCAGCCTTGTGTGTAGCAGACAGCTGTGGAGGACTGTTTGCCTGATGATTGAAAGTTGACCAAT